ATTTTTCAATTTTGGCCCAAAAGAGATTATTTTGGCTTAAAAATTAAGAAAAACAACAATAATGAAATGAAAATACACAATTCGTGCCATAAGCATAAAAATACTCAAAAAATTAGGAAAAGAAGGTGGGAAAATCTGAAAATGAAAAAACGAAAGTGAGAAAAAGTGAAAAATTATAGTGTCTTACAAAATTAAGTCAACAAAAGGCCAAAAAGTTAAAGTAAATGTATTGTATTTTTTGGACATAGTGTATGACTGAATGTATATATATTTGTTGTAGTTTTTAGTATTTACCGGTTCGGTCCGGTTAGATCGGCGGTTTGCCGCAGGTAATCCGTTAACCGGACCGATTATTCCGGATTTTTAAAAAAATAAACCACCAGATTTTTTAAGACTTTTTTAACCGACCATTTAACCGACGGTCTGGATTGACGATTTTTTTCGGTTAAAACCGGACCGTGAACACCCCATGACTCATATATATATATTACATAATTAAATAGATAATGAGTAAAGATAATATGTATACTTTCAAATTACATAGAATTACATGCATTTCATTCATATTATAAACAAGTTATACATAATATGTTATTTAATTGCAGTAAAAAAGTTTAATTGTATTCCACTACATAAAATAAATTTGCAGGACTAGCCAAGCAATAGTTATGCAGGTCTAACTATTGTAATTTGAAACTTTAAATCTATAGTATCTTATTACTAGAAATATTAATATAAATAAAAATATGAAAATTTCAGAACTTGAGATCTATTTTTATTACAAAAATATAACAATCCACACTACTCAACACTTGATTCAACTTATGATAATCCATGCATATAACAAATGTGGTCATAGCACATAATTAGAGAGGATAAGTCCTTTTGTCAATTACATACCCACCATCCACCATAACATGACCAACACAAACACAGACATCAAAAACCTTCACAAACAAGATTCCAACTTCAAAATCCTAAGACCAACCAACCCTCTACACCTCACACTAACCACTCGAAGGCCCGGCCCGCCCGTGGCCCGACTCACGATCCCGAACCTCCGCCCTCGGTCAGCCGCACGTTAAGCCGCCTCAGCCATATCGAGTGCATTATCATATGAAAAACGTCGTACTTTTTAGGCGGAGTATTAACCTCGAAATGTCTCCTCATCTGAATCCCCCTCCTCTGCATCCTTACGTAATCCTTCATCGTAATCCCCATCAGTATCCTCTTCAAATTCGGGATATCCCCAACCAAGACTATGACTGCAAACGTCTCCCAATCCAGCACATCGCTGAAAGGGATTACGTACCCGTCCTTGATGAGGACGGGCACGCATCCCAAGTAGAGGCCTTCGACCATCCTCGGACTCGCCACCTCGTACCCGCTCGGGCACAGGCAGAACCGAGCCCGACGCATCATGCCCGCGTAGGACACGTTGCGGGGGAGGTAGCGGTGGATTTGGATTTCCGGGTCCGACCTGTTCTCCCAATGCTCGAGGAGGATTGGGCGGATCGGGCCGTGGACCCCACCCGCGTAGAACACAAGGACGGGCCGTTGGGATGGGGGCGGCCCGCCAAGCATTTCACGGGTGGTGCCGCCGGGGAGGTGGATCTCGGGAATCGAGACGTCGCGGGCCGGGCTGAAATGCTCGGACGTGTTGGCATTGCACAGGGCCCGGATGGCGTTGGTGTGAAGGTTGGGGACCGCGAACGAGATCTCGGGCCCCTATGAGATAAATAACAATTTTGTTCAGTAACTATTGCGATTACAAAAATGGACACTGACTAATAAAAAATCGACGCAACAAAAAACTGCTCACTAACAAATTGTCAAAAAATTACAAAAAATATCACTATGCGTGGACAAAATTGTACCTACTCACATAATTACAATCATTTTTCTACGCAATCCAATCATCATAATGGTTTTTTTCCATCTCATATTATTATATCAATATGAAATTAAACACTTAGTTTGATATTAAATTTCTCCTTCTATTATGAAATAGTCATTTTGCATGAATTATCATCATAAATGTAAAGAATACTATACTATACTATCCAAAATCGAGCCAAAAAGATTAGAAATCGTTCGAAAATTGTGCTACGTACCCAATCGTGGCACGCGAGCATGAAGTGATCGGCCCCCAAGCTTCGATTCCAATATTGATGTTTCCGAGCAATGACATCGACATAGTCAGAGGCCGTGTTCTTCATGAGGGACCACTCGTGGGAATTGGGCTCGTAGACCACCTGCGTTAGCATCGTCACGCTTAGCGGGAGGAAGAAGAGGTGGGCCCGGTTGGGGTCGTACGTGCGGAACCGGCTTTGCTCAATGGCCGACATGAAGATGCCCTCGATTGCGTACGTGTGCTTGCACGGCCCAAAGTGGAATACCGGGGGCTCGCCTTCCTCGTAGACGTACACCTTCAATCTCTTTTCCATTTCCAAGTAGCTCGCATGGAAGAGTTTCGGGTCCCAATACATGGGCCCACTCGGGACATAATCGGGATCCTTTATTAAGGTTTCATTACTTGTTTTCGCGTCTCTAATGGCCACCCGAGCTCGAAGAAGTTCGGCTTCGACCAGCTCCAGATTGGTGTATTTACGTCTTTTTGATGAGTTTCGTGGTCTTCTATCGTTTTGGTATATGTCATTGTATTCATGTACCTGTAAAATGACACGCATAGTTGGATAATCATACTTTTTGCAACGAACATTCATTTTTGTTACAAATGTATGATGAGTCAAATGGTTTAGTGGTTAATTAACAAAGTAACTTGTCATATTGTAGCAACTTTCATTTCAATAGGAATCAAAAATTGCATAATTTATGTCACTAGGTTTTAAATTGTCCAATGATTCAAGAATGGTAAATTAACGAAACTAGTGCGTGGTCCGTACGATGCACGGGAAAACAATATTACGATTGTGTTATAAATTAAATATCAAATAAATTAATCAAGATTTACCCATCGTTTTAAAATTAAACTGTGTTGGACACAGTCCGACTGGATGGACCGAGAACCAGTTTATAATCAGTCTAGTCACTTGAATAAAATATTTGCTATTGAATCCGTCAACACAGTCGGTTGAACTAGTAGGATCGATACGATTTTCTAAAAAAAAATTGCTATATTTAAAATTATTTTAAATAAAATTAAATAAAATAGAGATTTATAAATTGTTTAGCAATTAGTTTAAACATTTGAATTTTTAAATAGTTTAGATATTTAAGTAACACATTTTATCTAAATTATTTACAAAAGTACCATATATTGTGTGTATATATATATATATATATATATATAAACTAGTGTGTGGCTCGTGCGATGCACGGGAAAACAATATTTCTATTATGTTATAAATTAAATATACAAATAAATTAATCAAGATTTACCCATCATTTTAAAATTAAACCGTGTTGGACACAGTCCGACCGGATGGACCGAAAACCAGTTTATAATCAATCTAGTTCACTTGAATAAAATATGTGCTATTGAATCCGTCAACACCAGTCGGTTGAACTGGTAGGATAACGATTTTCTAAATAAATTTTGCTATATTTAAAATTATTTTAAATAAAATTAAATAAAATAGAAATTTATAAATTATTTATCAATTAATTTAAAACATTTAAATTTTTAAATTGTTTAGATATTTAAGCAACACATTTTATTCAAATTTATTACAAAAAATACTATATAATATATATATATATGTAAATGTATATATATATATATATATTAAAGCGTAGTTTTAAAGAAAAAAAAAAACAAATTGTATAATTTTTATATATTAAATTGTATGATTATATTAAAGCGTATTTATAAATTAAATTGTATGATTTTTAAATAAAAAATAAGAAAAATAATAAAACTACTATTTATGGGTATTGTATTAAATGATGATCTATTTTTATGCTATTAATTTTAGTAAATGGAATAGCTTTTTATATAAGTATAGATATATATATATTAAAGCGTATTTTTAAAGAAAAAAAAAATTGTATAATTTTTATGAATTAAATTGTATGCTTGAATTGTATGATTATATTAAAGTATATTTATAAATTAAACTGTATGATTTTTAAATAAGAAAATAAGAAAAATAATAAAATTACTATTTGTGTGTTGTATTAAATGCTGACTTATTTTTTTGTTACTAATTTTAGTAAATAGGATGACTTTTTATATAAGTATTGATGCATATTTGAGAACTACATGAAACAAATTCAAATTCTTGT